TTTTAATTTTTGTTTTATTGTAGCAGCAGACATCAACGTGACTAATGATACCTCTAAGTTTGAACATTCAGTCTTGGAAGTTGGAAACTCGTCCTAAAGCTAATAGAAACGGCAGCACTTCCGCAAAACAAGTCATTTCGAATCTTTTAATGAAACAATTGTTTTACAAATCCWACCTCAAGTGTTCATAAACCGACACCGCATAAACCAAACAAGCTTTTTCAGGGCTATAAACACTTAACCAAACGAATTAATTATGGTTTTATATGCTTGTTAGTGGCCACGTTTGATGTTTAGTCTGTTTGCACCTCGCTGTGTCTAAATATTTTGCGTTTTATTTACGTCTCTTTTAACCCACATACTTGGGAGACGAAATTGCTAACAGTTAATAATTGGAATTTCCTGCTTTATGCAGGAGCGTTTAAGCTTGCATCGGAGGTTAACGCTGCAAAAAATTTTGATAGTTTGTTTCTTAAGTGTGCATAGCCTCATACTCATTTTAATAAAATAAAAACTCAAATAATTGTGCGGAAATTCAGAAAGAAATCTAGCTAACTATAAAAGAGGACTCTCGGAATTTAAACAAAATTTTGTCCTCATCTGATTCAAAGCTTTTTCTTTAAGAATCTTTTTCAATACTTTTTTTAAGTAAAACAATTATCAAATACTACTTATTGGAAATCATGGAGGTAGTCKTGTGCGTAATTTGACGTTTTACCTTCCCACGTTTACATGACGATGACAATATTTTTTCAGTTTACGTTCAGTACCTACGTGCATACATACGAGTTAGAAGTTGTTTGTTGGTACTGAAAGTGTTGTTTTGTACAGTTATATGCAAACACATTAAAATTTAGTGTAATAAATTGGAATAGTATATTAAAGAACAAGTTTTATAAGGGTTGATTTGGCGCACGAATCCCAAGTTAGAAAACGAGCCGTAGGCGAGTTTTCTATGGGATGAGTGCGCCAATGTCATTATAAAACGAGTATTTTATGCTATTTTTTCTAATTTGCGCCCCCTTTTTTCTTATTTTAATTAAAAAAAAAATATWTTTTTGTCGCCTAGAGAATTTTGTGTTAGTTGGTATCGGTTGGTAACATTCGGCGCCCACCTGTGTTTTTGAGTCATTTCTGCCGTCTGTCATTAAAAATAAAATTTACAAATTATCAGTTATTAGTGTTACAACATAATAATAATAATAATAAATAAAATATGAGAAACAGAATTTAGTTTGCATTCCGCCCGAAATTCGCCAAACTGCCGAAGCAACAACGCAAAATTTGTTACCTGACAAGTCAGAAGAGGCATCCAAAAACTAAATAACCCTAAATTCATTAAAGCACAGTGTGCTTTTATAGATAGCCATAAACGACTCCTACTGGAGACGTTAATAAACGTATTATAAACGCAAAGTAGAAAAATGTTTTTTTACATGCGTTATGTTTATAACATCATTACGAAAATTTTTAATAGTTTTCTGTATTTTGTATCTAAAACTCACCATCTTTTTTTAACTATATACAAAAACTGTATTTTATTAGAAGGATTTATAAATACAAGAAGTATGAATTGCCTGCGTAATAAAAAAACTCTCATTGTTATATGGCTTAAACTAAGAATTGTTTTGTAGATTTTCTGGTAAACGGGCTTGTTTTAGGTAAAGCTAATTAGACAYCTTTGTTACAATTATACGTCGAAACATAGCTTGCCATAATTTTAATGCAATGAMTTTTTGTTCTTTAAAACTACTTCTATTATTCGATTTTTATTACCCAATCGAATATCAAGTTTTTTATTACTTCCACTAAAGCAAACAGATTTGTAGAAATATTTGTACATAATATCAATATGCCAGGTTCATTAATTCTATTTATAAACAAAAACTATCAGACAGTGATTTGTGAAAAGTTTTTGTGAAAAATCGATTAATGGCAGAGATTTAGATATTGAAAAGTAGAYAAAGAAAATGCTCCGTTTCCACTCCATTATACAGAATTATCGAGATAGAAAAAGTATAATGTCTAATTCGTGACTATTACTCAATCGGATGCATTATTACACCATTCTTAAACATYTGATAGCGCCTTTTTTATTCACAATCATAAAATAGTAATCAAAAAATAACATTGCTGAAAATTACCTTGTGAAAAGTTGGAATGTGACATTTCAACTTCATTTAACAATTGGTATGAAATATGACAGTTCAGGTTGGGCAATGATCACTTCCCAACCCGAAAACTGATAAAAAAAAGTGACTGCTTTCTCACCTGAACTGTCATATGATGTGTATTTTAATATTTCGTACCTTGGTTTATGGCTGACCAAGGCATTTCGCGCCTTATTGATATTGAAGCACCTCCCACCTCCATATGTAATCTACTATAACGTTTTTAGCAATTATAATTATTATTATTTAAAAATGTGTCTACACCGTTATTTGTAATTTTGTATTACAGTTTTTTTTTATTTTGAATGCATATTTTACTTTGGTTGTGTATTTTTTTTTAACTGTTGGTGCCTTTAATGGACTCATTTTATCATTTTACAAATTCAGATGAATTAAATATTTAATCTGTTTATACAAACTTTTGTACTAAATTGATGTTCGTATTTAAGAAAATTATGTTACATATTAATTAATAATGTTCATTAAAATTGCTTAATAATTTAAAGAGAAACTTTGAAATGGACTAAATTATTGCTTAAAATTGGGGTTATGCAGAATAATTCACATAACATTACGACCCTGACAAAGTTAAATGCAACTAGTTAGCCAGTTACATATTTTTTATATTTTATCCGATAACCTTTGTTCTGTTCATATCGTATGAAATGTGAAAAACCCTCGCATCAAAACAGCTACACTTTTACGAAATTTTTGGTAAATTTCTTGGAATCTAATTAAACGCTATTTCAATATTTCTTTTTAGTTTGTCRCGGTGGTAATAATGGTTGTTTTTTTTTTAATTTGGCATCCTTATGCGTGTGGTAACAATGGTTGTTTTTTTTTTAATTTGGCTGGCATCCTTATGTGTGTGTATCAATTAATAATTCGAAAGACGTACCAAATCGCTATCTCTTTTCGCTAGGTATTTGCGTAAGGTCGATCACGCTATTTATTTCACTTTAACAAATGCGATTAAAGTAACGCAGAGCTAGTGACGTACGTCAATAGTGTGTCTTACCGTCACATAGGTCATTTGTAATTTTATTTTTATTGGGAAAAACTGTTTTGGGCTGATATTTATACCCTTTATTCACAGTCACTAATGTAATATGCCAATTACTAACCTTTTAAAGATTGGGAAACACGTCATTATATCTCATGAGAAGTAATAATATTAGTTCTCTTGGGCGGTAATATGCAGGAGAACCAACGTTAGAATTACAAAAATACCTGGAATTTTTTCTTTCAAATTGTCAATTACGGGTAATATTTTGCTAAATTAGTGTTCAATTGTTTTTGTAGCAGTTTCTCTTACTTCTGGGAGAGTACACTGCTCCATTTCGACGATTTTAAATCAGATTCACACATTATTTCAATATTTTCTTTGACATTGCTGAAATGTCAAAAATCAAACGCCATTTAGACCTTAACTTTGTTAGAATTTTATTTTACTCAAATTTTTGACTAAAAATAGTGTGATTGTGAATAAAATAGCATACAAACCTCGGTACTAATGGCATTACCCCTTGTGCTTCTTTATACTACATGAGCACTTGGGTAATGCCATATTTACCACCTCGCTTGTAATGTACTATTGAATCATCGTAACAATCGCAATTCAAGTCCTATAAAAACCTAATGCCAGGAAGAAACTTTAATTTTTGCTTTAATACGAAAATGTCAGAAGCTGTTAAATGTCAAAAACAGACGGAGGTCATGTGTTCTTGATTCACTACACTATCACCACGAAAATAAACTCTAATAGTTATTCATATGTTATCATATCAAATAAGAAGTGAACAAYTCTTTGTTTGAGGTAAGAAAATGTTGTTCTGTTTTGTTAGACAACTGATGCACTTTTGATGGCTTGCAAAACATGCAGCCAAGTGTTGATTAAACAGTTGTATTTAGACTGACTCTGTTCAAATATTTATACATTATAATATAATACAGCTGCTTGCTTATTATTTTCTGTACAAACCAATGCAACGAAATATTTTTCTCAACTACCATTAACAAATGAAAACATAAATTATGTAGCACTGGTTTATAAAAGCAAAAAGTACCAAAATGTATTTTTTATATTTTCAAATAAAAGTAGTTGTCTGTTCTGTCAGACGTTTGATTTACATTTTGTGAATTTTGGCTCTCATAAGATTTTCATATTTCACAAGAGTATGACTGACTACATACACGTTTATTTTTATTTTTCTATTAAATAAAAATAAAGTAAGTTGTTCCATTTACGATCCACCCTTTTGTTTAATTCATCATCATGGCGCATCCACCATTCGGAATCGAAAAAGCCATAACTTATCAATTCCAAAGCCACTTCTCGCGTTCGAGTAGACACTCGAGTGTAAGAAAATCGGGTTACTGCTCGACGTAAACACTTTATAAAATTTTATTCGCGCTTTTAAACGCTTGTATCCGCACATCAAGCGACGTGTGTAACACAACATCTCCGGTATTGATGCATGTAAAGTCATAAAATTTAACGGCTCCGGCTACAATCCTATCAAATTTATTATAAGCATAAAATGTAAATAATTCGGAGCATGCAGCGTCGTCCCGATCCAGCATAAAGCCGCGTTATTACTAGTAAAGTCGAGCCTCTGTGTTGGCAACACCGTAAATCAGACAACAACAACGCCCTCTCTCCACTCCAGAACGATGCTTTTAAACTCGAATAATGAGCAATTTAATTCGGATCAGTCTTTGTTTTCAAGGCGAACTTTTGTTCGGTAACAAAGCACCATTAAAATGGGACGAATTTGAATCAAGTGTTTTCACGTATTATTCTAATTATTCTTTTCTCTTTTTTTCAGGAGATTTTAAGATGAAGTCGTGGCTCGTGTGTGGATTAATACTCGCGTGTTTGGAATTTGGAGAATCTTATTCAAGTAAGTAGGCATAGACTATTTAGTTAACGATTTAGATTTAAACAAATCGACAACTTGCGTGATGAAAGTAACGAAATATATTAATTAATTTACTTTTTGAAACAGGAATTGGTTTTCTTTCTACCAAACTTTTTATCTGAATAAACATTAATCAATTAACCTTCCTTAAAGATACGCCACTGTGTTTTCCAACAAAAATACCATCATTATGCAACCTTGGTTTTAATATGAAAAAAAAGAAAAAAAATAATAATGAAGGTTTTCGAATTATAATAATAATAGGTACACAAAAAAAGTAATATAGGTTGTCGAAATATCATAATTGCAGAAGAATTCAGTAAATAGTTTTAAAATTAATTATTTAAAATCTTAGCTATATTATAAATAATTACATGTTATTTTTATGTTATTATATCGAAGTACATAGTATAACAAATTTTTAACTTAGGTATTAGCTTTTTGAACAATCTAAAAATTACGTTTATTTGATAAATTAATTGTTAAGGTTGAAAATTATACTTGAAATCACAAAGGTAGTCGATTATGGTTTTACCTTACAAAACGTCAAATTCTTTTGAACTTATATTCAATATCTACCAGTTAGAAGTTGTTTGTTGGTGGTGAAAGTGTTGTACAGTTATTTGCAAAAGTATTAAATTTTGATGGTATCCATCAGTGTAAACGGATTTTGTGAAGAAGTGAAAGCAAATTTGGATACAAATAGTATATTATGTTATTAGGAGTAAAAGTGATAGTTTATGTGACGAAGTTGAACGTTTATTTTTAAATAATAGAGCTAAGCCACATAAACTCACTTTTTACTCCGAATAACATATACTATTTTATCTTATCTACAAACGTATTCCGATGAGAATAAAGAGCAACACTGTAATTAGCAAGTAAATGGACAAAATAATAAGGACTTTGCAACAAACATCACCCATCAGTATCGGAATTTGTGTTGAGATTTACGAAAGTGTTTATTAATTTAACTAGTGTATGACTAGTGCAGTTAGTAGTGCTAAAGCAGCGAAAGAGACAAGAAAGAAACAACATTGGTAAATGTCATGGTAAAAGTWAAAACGTTTAAGGGAAAATACCTACAAAGATTTTACACTATGCCTGAAAGGTAAAACTTTTACCTGTGACATTTAGTAATAAAAGTGATCACTTTTGTGACGTTTGCGGATAAATGTTATTATTATTACATTTAGTTTGAAATGTCTTTCTTTCTGGTAAACCAAATAACGATAAATTGTACCTATTGACTTTGTATTCATATTTTTTCATTAATAAATAATTTATGACTAACATTATCTCCTTCATATTTTAAAACTATGTTTCTCAAAGATTTTTCTTTTTTTATTAAAACTATACAAAAAACTTTCTTCACATTTTTTCGCTCTCCAGATGTTAATGCCTTAACAATCTTATTTTTTTCATGCAATTTGAATGTATAGTTTTAGTATTAAACAATAAATAAACCAAAAATATTTATTAAATAACCGAACATACAGTGTAACTAATTAACAATTTTATATTTATGTTTGTTTAAAACTGTCTAAACATTTTACAAGTTCAAGAAACTTGAAATGGCTAATAAAATGTAATGATAGTTGTTTTTTCAAGATTAAAGTAACCGCTAATTAAGTTGACTTTAGAAAATGATTGCAGTCTTAATTGCTAATGAGTGCATCATTTTATGACAATTTGCCACTGCAAGCGTTTAAACGAACAAAAACAAAACAAAACGACGAAACGTACGAACGTTAAGAAATAAATGTTTTAAACCCGGTTTCTGGTACGTTTTTTAAACTTCACTAAAATTTTAACCGTTCCAGTTGCTAGGGCAGCCTGATTTGATTGGTGATGCCACGCATTAACTGGGGTTTAAATTTAATTCTCTGTTAGAAAAATCGGGTCTATAAGTGATAAAGTTAACTTCAGGTTTTGTAAAATACAGAGTGCTTTTTCCTTAATGTGGAAATAATAAGAATTAAAAAAACAGACTGTTGGGACAATATAAACAACAATGTATATTATTTAAGAAAATGTATACAGGTGTCCCACAGCACCTAATAATGAGGTTTAATAATTTGGTTTTAATAAATTAAACATAGAGACCCAACAGCACTTCAAATTTAATTTACAAAAAGTCAAACCTTGGAGAATTTGGTGAGAATTCTCATTCTCATTTATCAAGAATGTTTAAAAAACGCTTTGCAGACAGCACGTTTCTATCCAGCGCGATATCCCCAAAACTAGAATAAAAAAGAAAAGACTGACAGAAATTTCTCAAAAATAAAAATACGATTACTTGTCAAAACAAAATATTTTAATATCCACGTTATCTCTGGAATGTATTGGTAGTTGCTTCAAAAAATTTTCAGACTCATTATTACTCGTGGGATACTGTGCAATGTTTTATCTGTAGTACGTACTACATGTACCACTTTTTTATCAAATACATCACAGTTGCAATGAAACACATAGAAAAAAATGGCCTGAATATAATTAGCTTTATGTCTTGCTTTTATGCTGACATTGCAATTTTAGAGAAAAATGATCAAACGTTGTTTTATGTATAAGTAAGCCCTTTTTCTCATATTGAGAAAACATTTATTTTGGACCCGAGGTAAAAACCGCAGTTGATTTTTATCATTGTATTTTATTTAATTTAATTTTATTTATTTAACAAAAATTCCTTCTAAGTTTGTATTAAATTATTACAAAGATTTTAGAAATGGGTGTATACTAATTAAAACAATTGAAATACTCTGTGATAATGAAGGACAAAATTCAGAAAGAAATCTACTAAGCTTCGAAATAAAAAAGGAAGGAATTTTTTTTTATTATCGATATATCAAGATAATTTGTAATCGAGTCATCTTTGAATCCGAAAACGTATGTCTGTTTTTGAACTAACTGCACGGGAAACGTCAAATAAAATGACAAGTCGAAAGGTAAAACGGCAAAATGGCTTGGACTTAGTCTCTGACGTATAAGTTAAATCATAAATTCATCATCTTTTTGATCATGTCATTTTACCTTTTGACTTGTCATTTTATTTGACATTTCATAGACATACGTCTTCGTATCCAGGAATGACTTAATTACAAATTATCTTGATCTCTCGATATTAGATACCTGAAACATTTAGCAGTTCAGAGACAAAATTGAGACAAAATTTTGTAACATTTGTTAATAATTAAACCATTAAATAGATTTTTATTCCATTAGTGTTAAGAGAAATAAAATAACGTTGGTAACAGCTCCACAATGCCCTTCTATTAATTTCCTGCATGTAGTGATGTAGGTTTTATCATATTCTGATGACTCAACATGTTTATCTTTCGTTGTGCGTAGTCTACCATCACTGGTATCACTGGTTCTAAAGGTGTTCTCACTTAGTTTATCACAAGTTTTCAGGGTTATACTATTTTTAAGTTGGTACTATTGTTAAGTTAACTTTGCTAAAAAATTTGTCAAAATTTTGACAATATAATCGATGTATTTCTGCCGGATTTCGACGAGTGATTGAGTTAATTTTTTGTGTAGAAGTCAATTTTTTAGTGCTTAGTACTATAATAATAGTTTCGCTTAATTTTAATTAATTTAATCTTCACCTTCTAAGTTGTCTATATTTTAAATTTCATAAAAATCCTTTGGCAAATAACAGAGATATTAGACCCGAAAGTCTTACCTGGGACACCCTGTATATTTTAAATCTACTTGAAGATTTTTTGTTTTAAAGGATTTTACCTTTATAAAAGTAATCAATAAAAGAGCTTTGCGGTAAACATCTAAAACACTACGTGATTTTTTTGGAAAATGGTAGCTTTTTATTTATAGCCACTATAATACTTGCCAGATACGCGAGGCCTGCAAATGCAGATCCCAAGTTCGTTTAAAGCACGTGTATTTAAGGACTTTACTTTTAAAATATAAACTAAAGAAAACATATACTTCTTATTGTATAAAGGTATATAATTTATTTATACAAATTTCTTTTCATTTTTTTTCTGTATGTTGATCCTCCAAATCCTACATTAATTTAGCCGAAGCGTTTTTTGTGATGTAATGACACTTAGTTTACGTCTACGTTTTTTATTTGGAAAACTTTAATTAGATTAGCTTTTCAAATAAACTTGTACAGCTTCAAGTTTCATCAAAAATAATTATCTGAAATTATATTAAAAAAAAAATGAAAAAAAAAGTTGTTCGTACTTGGAAACTCGGGAGACGGACCATCAAATTAAATTGAGATGAGTATCGTTTTATGTCTCATCATTTGCGCGGACGAAGCAGACTGTCATTTTTCATTATTGGCAACATTTCTAAACACTTCAGCAATGCGAACGACGCAACCATGATATATATTTTTTTCTGATTTGATAAAAATCACATTTTATTTCAGAATATGGACGCACATGTAAAGACATCGGTTGCCTCAGCAATGAAGTATGCGTAATGGAAACTGACCCTTGCTCTTACTACCAAAGACAAAATGAATGTGGATCGTAAGTTGTCAAACTTTCAACTATTCCGTTTAACCCAACTCAAATATTTGTAGTTATCCTACTTGTAAGAAAATGAACAATGCTGGCCCTCCTACATGCAAAAGCTACGTCTGTCCACCCACAAAAGTATGCAAAATGGACGGARCCAYCCCAAAATGTGTCGACGACCACAGCAAAGGTATTACAGTGTCTTAATTAMGATTGTTCATTTAATCAAAAATCACAGTGGGCCGTGTTGGGTATGAYACTACTGAATTAAAAAGCGCTGACCAACCCTCTGGAAACATCTACCCTAATCTTCCACGAGGTGAAACAACCCCACGACCTAACATCGGTTACCAAGGGCCTCCCGGTCAAGGTTACCAAGGTGGTCAAATCGGCTCGGGTTACCCTGGCCAAGCCAAACCTTATCCTCAAGGGGGGTATCCTCAACAGACTTACCCCCAACAGCCTTATCCAGGTTATAACGGGTACAACGGTTACCCACAAGGAGGTTATCGTCCTCAACAGAACGGTTATCCCAACTATAACTACAATGGTCAGTACCCAAATAACAACCAAGGGGGTTATAATCCCTATGGACAAAACCGATATGGACAAAATAGTGGATCYTCCGGTGGTTTCGTCGATTCGCTTACAAACGCTTTGAAGAAATACGGTACGAATTTGCTCAAAGACGCTATAACTAAGCAGATTGCTGGTGGTAATAATCGTAATTAATTTTTTTGTGTTACAGGGCTATTCTATATGATTGGTGCGTTTTATTATCAGAGGATTTGGGGATTTTAAAGCTCATTTTGTAACGTAATTTTATTTTAAGTTGTGTTGATATTTTTTAATAAAGTTTTAAAATCCTTTAAACGTTTTCTTGGTGAGTATTTGGTGGTAGTCTGTGGTCGCTCAAATTTATTGGCCTTTTGTGTCACTAACTGCACTGTTGAGAATAGCCTTTTAACACAATTTCTTGCCAATTTCTGTGTGTAATATGTTGTTTCTTTTTTAAAAAATAATGAATACAAGTAGGTACAAAATTAATTTGTATGCTAATAAGCTGCCTTTCTAGCCTCTTCTCCTCATTTTCCTTAGTTCGCTCGATGTACGTATTTTTGTATTTATTTTGTTTGTCCGATAATAAATTAAAATACGTCCTGCCGGAGTTTCATTTCCCCGGAATAAATTACTCACGCACTCACCTCTATTAGATTTCTTTTAATTAAAGCCAAGTGTTTGTGTGCTTTGCTTTGTTAACAGTGTAATTAAAATAATTAGATGCAACTGTGCGGTGGAGTTCTCTCTCCCTCCCCTGGGATGAAATTACAACTTTGGAGTTGTGCACGGACCGGACCCGGAAACGTTTCAAATTGAGTAATATTTATGAGGGTTTATTACAAGTTTACGGCAATGATCCGAAATGAAATTCTTTTATTGAAGCGGCGCTACTCCGCCTTCTGTTCTGCTCTTTCGTTATTCTGACTTACACGCGAAAATTACTTTTTCTTCCTAACGAACTAAGTTCGGGACGTGGAAGGCGTTTTAATCAACAAGAGAGATTTTGCTGTGAACTGACCTTTATTTAGATACGGAAGGTAATATGACTCCAATTAGCGAAAGCATTGTTAAGGTTTCGAGGGAGGGGGATGAAAAATGAATCTTCATGAAAAATGGATACACACAGTGATTCAGATAAAACTAGAGCCAATAATTTTTTTTCTGTAGGCAACAAGCAAAATGTAGAGCCAGAAGATATGAAAAGGCAGAAACTGCAAAGTTTTGGATTGTTTCGTCCGATTTAGGTTGTTTTATTACCGAATTTGATCGATTTTAAATGTTTTTTTTTTATTTTCGAAAAATCGCGTCAATTGAAAAATTTTAAAAACAGAACAAATTACGTTGTTTGCAATCCTGTATGAGTCAGAGTGGTCGAGTCAGGTCAGGTCAATGAAGGAATTCATGTTTTGGAGAGGTGTTTCGGTAAAGCCAACGACAATGTCTGTAATGAATAAGGCTCGGATTATATGCACGAAAAATCYGTAAAATATGCGCATGTATATGCACGTATTTTCACAAAAATATGCACAAAATATTAAGAAAGATGCGCGAATATATGCCAAATATGCATTCRTATGCAAAACTTTTAACAATAAAAATCAAAGTTGGAATAAATTTTTATCCTCGAGTACAAAGTTTGTATTTTCATCATCTTGAACCGCACACGATGAACGAAAAAGAATAAATAAATTGGTTTTGCCCCAGAAAAGCCATTTTAATAACCAAGTAATTAAGCCTTTCTTAGAAATCTCTACTTTTTAGATCACATGTTACCGTCAAAATAAAGTTACATCACTTTAAACAATTTTGCTAAAATTCATTTGCAGGCAACTACTTATCCACATAGAAGGATTTATTCGTTTTATACCAGGTGAATAAAAATTATGGAACCAAACACATTTTGCTTAAACTATTTATTTTTTTAAAAACTAATTGATGAATTAAATGTTTTATCAAAAATATAGTTTTTCCAATTTTTTGTTTTTGACTTCTACAAAAGTTTTATTTTTTTTAAATGGCACCCACTAAAAAAATGTTTTGTATACTCTCCCAAAAACAACTGTGTTAGAGACTATCTACTTTTTATTAATTAAAAAAATAATACATAAATTACAGTTTTGACAGAAAAATCGCATAACTCAAAGCAAAATAAAATGTAGTTTTGAAAATACGATCAGATTTTTTATATTACTTTATTTTATATTAATTATTATTTTCCAGGGGCAAATAACTAAAAAAAAACCTTTTGGTTCTAAACTTTATATTCACCCTGTATAAAATGAATTTAAAGAGAAAACACTCAGCAGGATACTAATTTTTTGAGTCCGGCTTACGAATTACTGGTTGTTCTCTTTAAAATATTTTGTAATCGGAACATTTTTCTTAAACTGGCCAATTTTTAACTTGAATTGAAATTTTTAATCGGAAATTTGTGATTTGAAGAAAATATGCACAAATATGCATTATTTCCCAAAATATGCATTTTTTAATTGGCTTATTTTAATCAAAAAACATTAGTCATGCATAGAAAACTTACAATTTTGTTGATACACCTCTTAATAACAAATATGCATTTTGCATATAATCCGAGCCGTAGTAATGAACCATACGGCTGTTTCATATAAAACTACGAGTCTGACGCACATTAATTATATTTTTTTTAAATATTTGAAATTGAGTTGGCAACAATGAATAATGTAGAGAAACAAGAAATAACACTTACTTATTTTGTGAGTATTCAATAAAACAAGACAGTAAACGAAGAGATTTGGAATGTTCCATTTTGCTCCATTTAACTCGTTTATATCGATTTTAAGGTTTTTTTGAATATTTTGAGAAGTGGGAGAAATTGTAATTTTTAGAATCGAGCCATAAGAAAACGTTTTTTTTTTCGAATTCTTATTAGAGATTTATCGATTTTCACAATCAAAAAAATGGAAATATTTTAGTTGCAGAAATCTCCAAAATAGTTTTTCTAGATGCGCATTGAGCATGATGATAAGTTTTATATCTTCCGTTTCTACATTGTTTCCATCTTAATTTAAAAGTCGTCGGCCAGTCCAGGTAAAAAAATTGAATTGAGCTCATCAATTTGTTATCCTGTTAAATATTTTTGAATCTTGTATATTGGATTTCTATTGTTTTATGGAAATCACCCTGTAATTAAAGATAAATAGAATCGTTGTTAAAAAAAGGAAAAAGCAGTCGAAATTATAAAACGGGAGATCAATGTGTTCGCAGAAAGGTTTCTAAACTTGGTAGAAAAGTTATGTTTGAAACATTCGGAGCAGCAATATTGTATTTTAATGCATCTCGAGGGGCCTTCGTAAATTTAAGGAGGTGGGCCGCCCGAAAATTTGGTCGAAATTTCCGAAACCTCTCGAGGGACAGCCTGATATAATTCCCAATTTCCTTACTTTCATAAATAAAGGAGATATCATCCTTCAAAATGTTTTATTTGAAATTTTGCAGTTAATTTTCTTGGTTATTGATTAAACGAGGGAACTCCAGCTGAAACGACTGAATATTCAACAGTGGGATTACGAGACAATCGGAGTATATTTGCGAATCATTTTTTCCGCTAAAAGGAATAAATCTCGAGAACGAGGATTCAATTGCGGTTCGGTGATAAAACACACAAAATTGCAACGGAACGAAATGCAACAAAGTTATATTCTCGGTAATTAACGCCACTAGTTTAATGTTTGAAACTTGGATCATAATTTGTTTTTGTTCTCACGTAACACATGTTGCTACTTAGTTCTTGTACACTCATTTAAATAAATTTACTTCAATCAAACAACACTTTGGTGGAAGTGCGAAATTTCTACAAGACATGGACGTGACTTATCTACAATGCTCCAAAGTGACATGCAGTTTGCATTGTGCTTTAAATTTATTATCTCTAAATTTCCACACGTAAACGCATTTCGTAAAGGTGCCATAAATTCGGAAAGGGGAAAGTTTGCCTTTAAGCTTAATACGTTAGTCACTTAAAGCCTAAAAGCTTTCTAACTACGTAATTATGCCACGCGATTCTAAAAACATCAATAAAATATTGCTCAAATTTGTTTAAATCTGATGACAGGTTGAAGATAATTTTACGTCGTTGGAACTTATATTTAACTTTTCATTCACAGTCAGCAGGGTATTATTTAGTTTTAAGCGTTATACGCAAACACGACCCATGCAACGAAGACTATTGTAACTCAAAAAAATAATGATTTTAGTTGATTTAAATAAAAATCTTTTTTTTTTGTGTGAAAATAACACCAAAATTTTAAGGTTTGTAAGATCCCAAAAAAGAGGTATTTTATGGTAAATGAAATTCTTTAATACCCAGAATTTACCTATTCTCGACAACCCATACTGTTTTTGCTTTCCTCTTGAAAGTAATTGTTATAATCTATATGATAATGAAACCACCTTTAGCTTTGTTCGCCGAGGATTTTTAGAACCAGTCTTGGATTTATTCAAAGGGTGAACGATATTCTATCGTTATCAAAAACTCGGTAAATGTTTAAAAATAAAAAAATAAAAAAAATCGTATTTTACAAATAATTTACAATTTTTAAGCGCACGTAATCAAAATAAACGCTTCTTAAATTCTGATTCCAACCTCAAACTCATCAAAGACATGAGAAAAACAAAGATATTCTAAAAACGCTTTTGTCAACTGCGTAGATCAAGCACTAAAAGTTCTTGTTCGAGTCCGAGGATGGTTTGGACTGGTCTTGAACCAATTCTGAACTTCAAGATTCTGTACCGCGAACTGTTACTAAATGTTCGGGATTTCTGCACCGCAAATGCCATGAATTTTATGCCTAAATTAGTTTAGGATTGTTATCGCGAACAAAGCTATTGATTTAATATTATCTTTAATAATTAATAAATCACTAAAAAATTATTCTTTTATTTTCCTGCTTTAATCCCCATTAAGATGCGACCCCCACTATGTTCATTATAAAATTTTCATTTGGAACATGTTTGCGCAACTAAATATTCAATTAACATTGTTTTTACTATTTAGAAAAAGGAGATTTTGCTCTAAGTATAATTTAGCGCTTAAACTACAGAGGCGCTGCTGTATCGAGTTCAAAAGGTTGTTTATACATCTACAGTATGTCCCCGGATTGAGCTTACAAGAGGAAAAAATTTTTTATCTTTGATTTTACGCCAAAACTGCAAAGAAAAAAAGTTTTTGCTTTACTTGAAACCAGCAAATCTGTAATTAAAACTTCGTCATTCTAACTCAGTAGAAAGAAGAAAAGAAAAGTTCATTTTTCTCTTGATTTTGGAATTTTTCTCTGCTTTTTAAGTCTTATCACATTGGCGGTTTTAATTATTTGACAACTATATGTCACTTAGACAATTAATTTATTAATTAAATAATGATAGCTCTTGTTACAAATGACTTTGGTTTTTACCTTAATGCTGTTTCTTTGAGTTGCTGTTTATTAAAATTACGTTTTTCACAAACATTTTTGTTATTTAACTTCCGTAAACTCATTTGTCAAAATATGACTTTAAAAGCAGAGAAAAATTAAGTCCAAAATCAAGAGAAAAATGAACTTTTCTACTACTGAGGTAGAATAATGAAG